AGAGGAAAGTCCGAGGTGATGCAGGTCTTAGAAGTTTACCACGTTGGTGAAACCAGTGAGCACGGATATGGAGCTGACAATCGAAGAAACATAATCTGGGCGAACCGGGATTCGAACCCACAACCATAGGTTTCTTGCATGCCCAATGGAAGCAGCTCTGCGCAGTGAATCGCGGCGCTTTAGATGACCCATTAAAAGAAAGAAAGAAAATAACTAATTACTTAAACGTCCATACATGTGTATGCGGACAAACTACAAGTTCCCAGGGTCATAATTATGTACTGCCTAGAAACTGAATGCTCTCTCCGCTCGTATCCATATTATAATAGTGTGTCAGACCTCCCATAAATGAAGGTTACAATTCGCATTAAAATCCTTCAAGGCTTCCACACCGTCCATTACCTTCACAAGTGGAAGCTAAAAGTCAGTTTGCCAAGCCACCGGGAATAGACCTTCGTTTAAGGGAGATAACTCTTACAGTCACAGGATGAAGCGTTGTTTGAGTTAAGATGTAAGAGCAAGCTGCTGAGGAGACAGGTGATTCCGGCCCCTCATGATGGAGCAGGTGTTGCCGACACCACGCAGCTATTGACTTGCAGCAGCTAAAATAATTCTCCCTCTGGGTATCCGTTGCACTGGAGAGCACAGGCACCAGCCTACAGTGCATATGGAACTTTTTACGTTCTCTAATTCGTCGTAAAAAACAAACGCTGCAGGAAACTCGGCGGCATGTTGTTAGTGTCTGACGGTTAAATTAACGGATTTCCGGATCAGGAGCAATGTATGATGCACCAGCAATTTTGCAGTTATTCAGATCGACGTTATTTCAAATATTAATTGTACACCTTTGTATTAAAGGTGAATTGCTCTAAGCAAGGAGTGTTTATGGCATATATCGTTTTCTATAAAAGGTTTTATTATATTTTCTTAACCTTAAATATAATGCTGTAAATTGAGGATCAATCGTACTTGTGATCTTTTGTGGAGTCTTTGTTTTACGACATTGCAGACGCTACCTTTGGTTCAATATGGAAGTACTACGTTTTGGATGAGTCATGTACCATGCCTGTCATACCTCGTGAGCTTCCCTTGTTATCTGAATTGTATGATCTTTGTAGTGAAAGATGGGTTTACGGTGGTGTGAATACTAGTATGATTGACCACGGCCTGTCAGTTCCATGTGGGATGCAAGTCCAAAGTGACGCAGTTTATGGTATCACACCTGTCATCATCACTATGTGGAAGTGATTGAGAAACCGTTGGCGGAGTGGGCAAGCGGTCAAAAGCGCCAGGCTAGCAAGCGCCAGATGTTGTGATCGTACCCCGCTAGTGACCGGGTTGTTATTCAGCCTTTGGATCATCAATGTTTACAGGTTACAGTGACAGTGTTGTCACTACCCCTAGTGTACAGTACATGCACCCTGTGCTCTCAAAAGAACTCACTAGTCCGATGGTAGATGACCAGATTGTGGAAACACGAATACGTACATACACCCGAAACACATGTGTCAAAACTTGTGGTGTCACCCTGGGCAAGTGACTTAGTTCATATGTGCCTCGGTTCACCCGAATTTCATCCCATGACCAATCCTGCCAAGGCCACTCGGGTTTAAACATGATATTATATTTTGTTCGCATGAAAAGGATTGGGCACACGTTATCACAAAAAAAAGAACTCCCTCTCCAAATAATAAATTAAATGACAAAAGGAAAATAAGGAAATGGAGACATGTATGTACATTAACCTTGCTCACTCAAACCTTTTAGCTTTCTTGTAAATGTATGTACATTCCTTAACATGTCTTCGTTCACATGATTAAGTAAAACTGCATTGCCAACTAGCATTAGGTCAATATTTACATCACAAGTATTTTTCACAATATAAAAATGGACATTCAAAGAAAAAATGATACATCGGTATTTTGGATCCTCGTTAAAACCTTTTCTAAATACCGTATTCTATGTAATAAGCGCCTAGGGCGCTCTCAAAATTAGAAAAAGGGGGTTCTTATTAGAATATAGTTTTGGTAAGAAAAATAGAGTTGAAAGATCTGTAATATTGTGGTTTATGTTGACAGCCTTATATGATACAAAAGAAAAGTCTGTGCGTATTTTACACGACATATATATTTTTCAAAATTTAAATGCCCATAATTAATGGTGCATATAACACACGAGTGCGTATTATGCGCGAATAAATAAGTCTTGTGTACACTGATTAATCGGAAGTGGTGCTAATTGGGATTGTTCACCAGCCAATATATAAGCAAATATCGCCGTGAGCGCTTATTAGTTCAGGGCGCTTATTACGTCGAATACGTAAGTCATTTTTTTCAATTCACTATCACAATGTCTTTTTTGTATCATGTATTATGTTAATTTTCCGGAGACCATATGAGAAATATGATGGAACTGTAGATTTATCTTTTCTTAAACTGGATTTAAATCGAGAGAAGGTTTCACGGTCACTCGAGTATGTGACAGCGAACTGCGGCTCCTCAGACCTCTGTCCAACTCCTGTCCCCATTGTAAAAATTATAATGGCAACCGAAGATGATGATTAGCATAGCATAGCTACCCACCTGCGTATCTTACGGCAAAATGACTAACTTTTGTTATGCGAGCTAGGTTGTATAGTTAGCTGGTCTAGCTATGATGCAACTTCAATTAAATTAGTGAAAGGGGATATTAATGAACGTTTAATACCTGAAATGTATAAGGTTCGAGTGATTGATATTGTAATAAAAGATTCAGATACACATGTTAAGTGCATCTGTACTTCTTATGATTGTCGCACACGTCGCACGTGTTATAAGTATAGTGACAGGTTATTACAAAACAATTTGGAACAAGTATGTCATTGCCTGTATGTTGTTCACATTAAGTTCACTTGTGTGTATTCGGCCAATATGCATGTACAATCAGGCATGGGGCGTCCCTGTAGGTAGTGCACTCATTTGATAACAGCAGCCAGAGTTTGTTGTCCATCATGGCATACACGGGCCAGGTGTTTGTGTCATCCATTATGACATGGCTGCGACAATACAGCCCAGACACATTTCCACAATGATGTGTTTTTGACAGATTGAACGATCGTGCGACAAAGCGGTGAACTCGGGTTCAAATTCCATTGGTCGTGCATCGGTGCCCATTTCTGATGTCCTTGAAGATAAAGCAATGTTGCCAAGTACATATGATGAAAGTAATCCATAGAAAACAAGCGTGTTAGTATTCTTGCAAAGGACAAGGTATGATACTGTGGACCCTTTTGTTCGCATGACTGACAACTTAGAAAAATTTATTTCAAATTGTGGATTATCAAATGCAGAAGTATGGCGTTGATGAAGAAGATGTGTATTTATCTACAACTCCTGAGAACATTTACGCCATCATGGGCCAAATATATGTTCATTTCACGTATTGGAAAAAACAAAACACCTGGCAATATGTATCACTCCTTGAGACTGTCACTTATCCGAAACCGTTAAAGTTGGGATGGAAAAGATTTTGAGTGGGAAACGATGCTAGTTTCTGAATGTCGATAACTGCCATCTTGAGCTCAGACATTTGTCAACTCTAGTTGGTCAGATGTGTTTCTCATCATGCCTTGTCTTTTGTGAACAGTAAGTATATACCTGTTTCCCTGTGAGTTTCATATATTTCTATATCAATTTTGCTTCTTTTATAATTGACGCTCACGTATTCGGTGATCCATATGACCCGAGAAGGGATGATATACGACCCTTCTACAATGTCTGTCACATCTCATGTCTGTACGCGTGTTTAGTTGCAAATAAATAGAGTCATCTACACGCAACACACACCTTTACTTAGCAAACATTCCCAAGAAAGCAATCATCATGATTTACAAATCCAATTGTCCAAAACAAATGAAGGCGATTTCATTTTTTCAAAGTGGCAAATACCTAATAAAACTAGAAGTAAAGAACGATAGTTGCTTTCCTTTTGTGAGTGCATGATATTGTCCCAGGCTACTGAAAACTGAATTACCCATACAAGTTTAATTAGGGTTTCGTCTCTTTTACTTTTTTAGAACCTCAGAAAGGATGTTTTTTTCCCCGGAGAGGCTTTTTATGCTCCACAAATTATCAGTTTCAACAAAAACCATAAATTCGCTCTGGCTTGCAAACATAAAAAGTTCTACATACAGGTTTTTGTTTAAGTATGCATGTGTTACACCAACGAACCTAAACGGTCTCCAATGGCAGATTTTTTGTAAACAACTAACCGTTATGTTAGAACATATGCCTGCTAAGGGAACAGGTTGAAAAGTCGATTCGTTCAGTTCATTCTCCGTGAGAGAGCTGACCCGTGAAGATCTGGGGTAGAATAGGTCTTCAGCAACCCATGCTTGTCGTAAAAGGCGACTATGCTTGTCGTAAAAGGCGACTAACGGGATCGGGTGGTCAGGCTCGCTGACTTGGTTGATACATGTCATCAATCCCAGTTGCGTGGATCGATTCTCATGATATCAATCACTGGATTGTCTGGTCCAGACTCGATTATTTACAGACCGCCGTCATATAGCTGGAATATTGCTGAGTGCGGCGTTAAACAACAAACCAACCAACCAACCAACCATGAGAGAGCTTGATTGTTGGAAAGACCTCATGTGTCCAGCCCGTCACTGAGTAATGCGCGCGGAGCCCAGATTCTTTTTCACTGTTGTGCATGTTATCGAATGCCATTTAAATGACCCACTATAATTTGTATTCTTTATTTTATGGAGAAAGATTGAATTATATCGTATGTGTTTGAAATTCTATATATACATGTGTCTCTACATTTTTGTGTAAACTTACTCTTTAATATATAAGTAAAGTGTATATCTCATCTGCATAAAAAGTATATTTATTCAAACAGAATATTTACAAGCGACATTAAGGTCAGTTTAGCGATGTTGTCAAAAATCACAACGTTCAACATAATGTCTTGTGCGAAAATAGTCTGACTATTTGACACAGAAACTCGAAAACTTGTACGAAAATACCTTTATTGAAACGCCGTAGCCAAACGACATGAGCCTAAAACGAAAGGTACACCAATCATTGCTACAGTGTGCAACTCTGGAGCACCACTATCCAGTGTATGTACTTATGTACGAAACAGTAACAAAGCTACGTCTGGTATAACGAAAGATGATCACATTCAGCGCTTAGATTTACGTCGCGAACACCTGGTGTCATCACTTGTTTTCAGTGGTCCATTCATATCATTCTCACAGCTATTTTGCCCTTTGCGCCAAATGGAATCAGTTTCGGTGGATAATTTAGGTTATTTTCGTATCGCAGTTAAAAACAGTACGGTCTTCTTCAGTTTCCAGGTATTTCCTTGTCAATAAGTACATGCACTATTTTGTACATTGATGCATATCACACCAATAAATCAAACAGACCAATAAGTGCAAAATTATGACGCCAAAAGCAAAATATGTGTCTTCATATTCGGTTGAAGTAGATTACGTTTAAATTGCTTAGTTAGAATACTGCTTCAGGGACAACTAAGAGACTTGAATATCTAATATTTCAAAGTTGACTTCTTACTCCTATAATAAGCGTTTGTGTTGAGCATTATCGTCACCTTTTTATTCGAGGACATAATAAAACCATTGATTTTGCATGTGAATACAATTTGTTTCGATAGAATGATTGCCTCAAATGTTGACCCTTTAGCAACGATACAGAATATGTATGCGATCATCTTCAATCGCCAACCAGCATCGATAGCAACGTATAAGAAAAAGCACATCAAAACTACTAATACACACACACATATATATATACATCCACTAGGCTTATCGAATACATGTAACACTCGAGTATACTCTGCTATCAATGACATGAATGTACATATAATGACGTGCAAAGATGAAATGTTAACCTGTAGAAACTGGAGGACAAAATGTTCATCGTTGCCCATGCTAAACCAAATTTATACAGATACAGTGAGATTAGTGTATGACACCTACGGAATACACGCACAAGCCATGGCAAGTACGGTCGCCCTGGTTAGCTGTAGGGAATCATTCACAATAGCCGTAAGCATTTGCAGATGTTCATCGAAGTGTTGTATTTTCAAAATGCTTTAAGAATGACATGGAGTTGGGACAAATGGATTGAAATGATCGTTTCTTTATGAGACGCATATTCAGTTTCTGGTCAGTTTTGATATATAGATTCAGAAAAGGATGAAATTAGGCGCCGTAGGTGTTCTTATGATTCTTTCTCACTGAATATTAGCGCTTTGTCAATTGATGTCAAGAACATACGACATTCGGACCTGAAGGGTTCTGCGGTAAGCGTGTCTTATTGAACACACATTCTGAAAAGGGTGAAATTGGTTGTTGTCAAGGCCTCGGGTTAACGCTGTGCACCGATTCACTGATATCGTGCTGATGATCAGCAAGTAAGGTGAGATAAAACAGCCCGCTTTATATGTAACCTTTACTTTTAAATTAGTTTGATTCAACTTTGGTTCTCATGTTTTGTTTCTATATAGACATAGTCAAACACCGTCCTGACGAAATATGATGTGACGAACTTATGGTTGTCTCGTAAAACCTTGGTCCCTGCATATTCCATCTTTATTCATCAGTTTTCGGTTGTGTCGAACATCTGCTAACTCGAGGTATTAACGTAGGTCCCTTCAACTTCGACAACTCTGTTTGAGTGCATCTATATTGATTTTGTAACAGTATAGTCATCCATGCTATGTTGTTGGTAATTATTTTATACATAATATATTGAATGAACGGATATGATGTAAAAATGTGTTATATTACAAGACGTTTCACGCAATATTAGATGTATGGGCATTTTGGTAACGTCCATAAAATAAAGCTTCGTATTCTATAATCTGAACTATAGTATGCTTCCCCATACACAGTTCCACGCCAGGAGTAACTGTACATAAAATTCAATATTTCATCATCATTTCACAGTTGTTAGTGAAAATTCAAATCAGTGGACTATATGTCTGAGAACAAACTGCAGCGGTAATGGTAATACATGTAGTGAAGAGTCATGGTGTTTGATACAATATCCATCATTGATACATTGTCATTTTGGTCTTCTGTATCAAGCATTCAATATTACATTGTCCACATATGATATAAAACACTGAACATGCCATAAGTGTTGACACACAAATATATCTAAGCCAATATAACTGTGTTGCTGAAACCAGGAAACAGTAAATGTCAGCAGTAGATATTAACAAACCTTCATTCAACAAAGCATCACGGATCAGAACACGGTGATGACATGCAACTATGTAGTTGTTTTACAGTTTTGAATTTGTTTGGACACAAATTAATATAACATTAATACATGTGTTTACCATTCTATTTCCTTCTTCTTGTGTCCATGTTAATATCAACAACGTGGGCGAAAACAACTGAGAAAACAAACAGTTTATGCCATTTGCGTATATAATTGATAACTTGAAAACAAAAACAGATACATTCAATGTATTATGGAAGTTTCAACAATTGTGGTCAGTTAACATATGTACTTTTTAAACTGACTAATACAGAAATTAATCACAACAGAACTCATACAATCTCGAATGTCGTCATGTGAAAGAAAGGCGAGGATATGAAAACAGGAAATGACAAGACAAGGTTTTACACGGTACATGTATACTCAATAACCAAAGTTGTGATTCTGTAAATATGTTCCTAATAGAATTATACTATTAGTTTTAAACCGTATTGGGGAAAAATGAAAGTCACATTTGTCTTTCCCTATAAAACTGCGGTAAATCTCTATCTCTAAAAGAACACTCAAATTTCTAGTTCGAATTTGACTTTTTGAATATTTATCATACAAAATTATAATCTCAGGAACCTTCTCTGGTCCATCATCAGCCAAAATAACACAAGAACATTTGCGTCCTTTAATAAAAAGCCCGTCCTTCTAATCATAATATTATGAATAAGAAAATTAGTAACTTTTTTGTTGACTATATAAAAACCGACACTAGCTTTAAATATATTTATCGATAATGTTTCAATGTGTCTCTAGTTACTTAATGAAGCGCGCACTAGTGACTGTTTGATGAAAGAAAATGTGCCTTGATAAAAGTCACGTCATTTGGCCGAATTGTGTCTATACAAGATAACAAGCATGTTCATTTCAAACAACAACTCAAGAATACATACACGGAGCTGATGGGCGTCGTTGATATATCCCCGTCATATATAACCAGTAACACACAAGTCATTTGGTATTGATACATGTAAGGCTACAGTCATATTGTAATTATGAACGTGCATTTCCACTGAGATGAATCCTGATGTCTCCGAGGCGAAAGTTCTATAGATATAGAGTCTACACAAATATTGGACTTCCGTCACGATTGTTCAAAGGGCATTTCACATCTTCTTCCTTAAATACGTCACTAGACTATTACATACAACCCACATTCATATCAAGACCTTTAAGTCAGTCATTTCTACTTATATAAAGAGAGAAAGCAGTTTCCTGGTACACGTATAAAGTATTGTCTTCTAGAATGACAGAGGCATCCGTCTTAGGCGCATATATGTCGTTAAATAATTATATCATACAAACAGGAAACTAAATATTCTTTTTTGATTAAGATATGATGTTTTCACCCTTATGTGCAGAGTACAGAAGAATTGTGTATCTGTCAATCACATTCGATTGACCCCAAGATATCATGTGACCTGTCACGTGATCACCACAGCTGAATGTATAAAACTTGGATTAGGGGTTGCTGATGATGTATTATATTACAAATGCAAATTGTCATCCATTGTCTGCAGTAGAAGCAAAAAGAACATTTGCATTCTGGCAGGACAGCAGCCAAGCTACTGTACGACCATCACAATGTACGCGCACATCAGGATCTCTTCATGTGAAATAGTGTTAATATCAAGGGCCCGATAAGAGCTTCCAAAATGGCGAACTTTGGTGAACAGCTGGAATGGCCAAGAACCAAAGCCTTTTCCTCATTACCTGAAACATACATGGCGATATGATATTCAGTGAAATCCATACAAGCGTTTTATAAATGTTAATATATTTTACTTTTGAGAAATATCAGTGACAAGGACACTTTTTTTCAATATGACGCGTGCAATTTAGACAACTCTGACTAAAAGAGAACCTTGGTCCCCAAACCATGTTCATATCTGGATCATCATCCTATAAAGTAAAAGCTGGTGTCCCCCGCCGTGATATTGCTGGAATATTGCTAAAACCGGCGTAAAATCAAACTCACTCACTCACTAATAGTAAATGAAACGATGAAATAGCCTAGAGATTCAATTGATGCCAGCGTTTCGCTTCCCTACATGGTTACAATGTGTGACAACATGTACTAGCGTCCCCCGTCCTCATTATGCTGATATATTAGGGTAAACGGCAAAATGCTCACTCACTCAATATAACAAGACTTTTTCTCACATTTTGATAGCTTTCGTGGCTGCATATCGTCCATATTACCGAGTCGTGGTATGGAGTAATGCGCTTTCATATGTATACGTACCCATAGTAACCGTCTGGATTAACCGGGTCCGGAAAAATGAGGTAGTCGGAATCGGACAATGGACTCGGCTTTATGCGGAGATTTCTATTGGATATGGAAAGGGTTGTCTCGCTTTATTTCACTTTACATGACGGCCAGCTGAATATTGGCTTTTGTCGTCACGTACAATGCTCATAGTTTGTAGTTTGTGAATGAGTATTGTTTTACGCCGCTTTTAGCGATATTCCAGCAATATCACGGCGGGGACACCAGAAATGGGCTTCAAATATTGTACCCATGTGGGGAATCGAACGCAGGTCTTCGGCGTGCTGAGCGAACGATTTAACCACAAGGCTACCCTACCGTCCCTAATTTTTGGAAAGACTCAAAGTATCGCTCCGAGTATGTGTAGGTGTCATATTTTTACCCCGTTTATCCTACATTTCTTTTGTTTATCCAGAATTTTGAACATTTTCTGAACAATTTCGCAAGAGACGGAACCGTCCGGACTAATGGCACTTAATACGGTGTAGCATTAACGTGAAGCAAACGTTACCTCTTCCTTTGTCTGGTTCTACCATCGGCGGGAATAATGGATACATGGCTGTTGATGTTGTTGCTTTCCTGTGGTGTTCTTCGTAGCCCGTGTCGTAACCATTACCAGGTATGATGTCATAAGGGGGTTCACGTGTTGTGGTCGTTGTCGGTGTCGTTATTATCACTGGTTCTAATTCTAAAAAAAACAAATTGCTAAACATAAGTATCTCCGTATTGGTTAAAACTTACAGTGCGAAACAAATACTGTTTAATTGTCATTGATGTCATGAAATACATGGATAGAACAAAAACACCTCTGTGTAGAGTCAGTTGTATTTGAACAATGTTTCAGTTGTATTTCAGTGGGACAGTTTGGAGCCAGATGTGGTGAGTGAGTGAGTGAGTATGGTTTTACGCCGCTTTTAGCAATATTCCAGCAACATCACGGCGGGGGACACCAGAAATGGGCTTCACACATTGTACCCATGTCGGGAATCGAACCCGGGTCTTCAGCGTGACGAGCGAACGCTTTAACCACTAGGCTACCCGACCGCCCCCCAGATGTGGTGAAGCCAGTGCAGGCCATGATCAGTGGGACCCGGGATTCAAACCTACTATCACAGGTTTCAGGTTTCAGGTTTCAGGTTTCAACTCTTCACAGCAAATTGTTGGGTATTGAGCGACTGGGTCTCCGTGCTTCTATTGTATAGAGGCCATCGACTCACGATACATGGACAGTATATTCAGTTGTGTAGAGACCATCGTCTCATGAAACATGGACAGTATTTTAAGTTGCATAGGGGCCATCGACTCATTACACGTAGACAGTATATTCAGTTGTGTAGAGGACATCAACTCATGAAACATGGACAGTATGTTCGTTTGTGTAGAGGCCATCAACTCGTGAAACATGGACAGTATATTCAGTTGTGTAGAGGCCATCAACTCATGAAACATGGACAGTATGTTCAGTTGTGTAGAGGCCATTGACCCATGGAACAAGGACAGTATACTAACTTGTCCAGAGGCCATAACCTCAAAACACATTAACAGTATACTCAGTTGTGTAGAGGCCATCAACTCATGAAACATGGACAGTATACTCAGTTGTGTAGAGGCCACCAACTCCCGAAACATGGACAGTATATTCAGTTGTGTAGAGGCCACCAACTCCTGAAACATGGACAGTGTATTCAGTTGTGTAGAGGCCATCAACTCATGAAACATGGACAGTATGTTCAGTTGTGTAGAGGCCATCAACTCATGAAACATGGACAGTATACTCAGTTGTGTAGAGGCCATCAACTCATGAAACATGGACAGTATATTCAGTTGTGTAGAGGCCACCAACTCCTGAAACATGGACAGTATATTAAGTTGTGTAGAGGCCATCAACTCATGAAACATGGACAGTATATTAAGTTGTGTAGAGGCCACCAACTCCTGAAACATGGACAGTGTATTCAGTTGTGTAGAGGCCATCAACTCATGAAACATGGACACTATATTCAGTTGTGTAGAGGCCATCAACTCATGAAACATGGACAGTATACTAATTTGTCCAGAGGCCATCAACTTAAAACACACGGAGCATATTCAGTTGTGTAGAGGTCATTAACTCAAAACACATCGACAGTATATTCAGTTGTGTAGAGGACATCAACTCATGAAACATCGACAGATAATTTAGTTGTGTAGAGGCCATCGACACATGAAACATGGACAGTACAAGAAACCAACTTTTGGTTTGCGCGAAACCCTTAATTGTGGTTCTCGGGAAATGGGTGCACGTCTACGAACATTTTGGCATTTCTCCATACAATATAATTAATCTACCACACCGCGATATAACTTAAATACTGTTAAAAGCGACATTAAACCCAAAAACACAAGCACAGAAGATATATGTCAGTTGTCATGGTATTTGAGTTTCAGGGCCTCATGCACCAGGTTCTATTTGCGCCCAAGACAGATCAATATATTAAAAAATTACCTCCCTTTGATTTAGACGTCATTCATCAATACTCACCATATAAAATCATCTCCTCTTCGTCTGACCCGAGATAGTTACTTCCTTCGCAAGTATATGACCCAAAATCTTCTTTTTCAATTTCTTTGATTCTTAAACTTAATGTCACTATCCTGTTTTCAAGATCCGCATAGGCTTCTGTCATAAATTTATCATCATTGTTTATTTCCAAACCATTCCGCTTCCAGAAAGTTAGACCCTGAGGATGAGCATATATGGAACATTGCAGAATAGTCTCCCGTCCAAGTTTCTGACCCATTCGCCTATTCGGCATCGTTACTTCCGGTGCAACTGAAATAAACACCGGAAATCAATGAGTGATCATATTTCTTCTTCAGTCGGGTTGTTTCCCTCATCGATCATTGTAATGGATGACTGTGTTGAAATTATTTGCAGCTAACTTGACCAGGGGTCATTTATCGATCTGAGACCAATAGGCAAGAATGTTTAGTCATCACCTTCTTCGTTTGGAGTAATAATGTAAAACTAAATCCGCATCCTTTTTGGTCATTAATGAAACTGATGTGATGTATGATTGTACACTAAACCTTGTTAACTTCCTTAACACGAAACATCGTTTAAGACGAAGTTGTGACGATTGCATTCACAGAATCCAAAAGCGGCACTCTAGCCTAATATTGACCCTTATACGAAACTAAGAACAACTCGATATATTCTATATGATCCGTGGTCTTCGCTGTACATATGGAAAGCAATGAAGAAACTTGTTTTAAGTGAAGTATTTGTCTGGTTCCACGATGTAAATGTACTTCGACAAAAATCGGAAAGTGTTTGGGAATGCACTGGCATACTCTACGAACATTCCACAGCCTTTCTTTCTTCGCGGGGAGCCTTTAGTGTTGAATACCATGTACGTCAGTGTTATCTGAGTGTTTCTATCCGTAAATATTTTTTTCCAAGTAGGATGATTAAATTTCAAAATGACAAACTTATAACAATATGCAGAGTCGGGTGGAACAGCTTTACGAACACCAAGCGACTTTATCTTAAATATGTACTTTGTGCAAATAAAAACAATCTCTAGAGTCTGACCATAGGTAATTGAGTCTATCCAAACATTGTGTACCCTCTCGTTTTAATAATCAGAAATAAATTTTGAACAGTTGAAAAACGATTTTGCTGAACCATATAGGTTATTGTCATAACAATAAGGAAATTATGTACTTTGACAACTGGATCATTAAAATAGTTTCATGGAGGACTTTCAACGGATTTAGAATAGGTGAATGAACCTTTCTAATCTATATTTCACAATTTATGACGTTCAAATGTAATATGTTTTTAACCAACTATCACATATGTTTTCTGCATGGGCTCTATCCTCAAGAAAACAAGAAGAGCGAGAAATCTTTATCCATTGCATCTTTCCCATGTTGGATCTGAATTAGCTTGTCAGCTTTCTGTAAGTACCAATAAAATTCCTTACGAATATGAAAGAAAGTATGCTAGCTCATTAATTATATAGAAAGATAATAAGCCTTCTGATAGGGTGTTTATCTGCCCACGACCAGACCAATAGCTATTATCAGCAAATAAGTGAAATGGGCAATAATAACGGTCTGAAGTTCAAGGGGACATTGCCACTCTGTGGAGAACATTCATTAATCGGGCAATTCAATCACAAGTATTAAATACAAAGTCAAGAGACACAATCTGCCTTAAGTACTAAAACTACTCAATCAGTGTCGCGATGATGGCCCACATACGATCCAATTGACGTTCGTTTGAAAAAGTAAAAACGTTTGAACGTTGCAATTAAATTCATGTGATCGAACTTTTGTTTGAAGAAAAAGCATGAAGTCATATTTAGATAAGAACTGACGGAATCAATCACAATCTAGTTTGATGATTCCATGAGAGAAATTATCAATCAGTAGAGACGTTAACTAAGATTATAATGAGATTGTTTGAGAGTGGAATTCAGCCAATCGACCATGAGATGCGGATTTCGTATCGATATGAACTGTGACCACATCGGAATTATTTCTTTTTATCTTAATAAACTTCGATTACTGTTATTATCAGCTTGAATCGTCAGTATTAATTTGTCGCTTCACAATCGGAGAAATAAAAGTCATATTTTTGTATTTTACTTCCCCGTGGGATTGTTTCCAAGAGTGCGCAAAACTTAGAATAGATGAAATCTTATTAAACATTTTCCACAACAAATCGGTGGAAGATACATCAATCAGTTATGTCGAGGGACGAAATCCAATTTATTTCCCTATTTCCCGTTGTTTTACACCACTTATTTCCTATATTGAGCGCAACGAGCAACGGTAGAAATTTCAGTTTTTAACGAGCCATTCAATCCAGCAATTCTTCCATACGAGAAAATAACTAGAGACATGTACCGATTGACGAGCACATTCTTTTCCAGTACTGATCTACCAATAATCGTATCATTCCCTTATATAGTCCTTTATTACAGACACACGTACATGTTTGCCTTTTGCAAAACAAAACATGAAACTTTCATCGAAAAGTACCATCTTCAATTGTTGTTGTAAAGATATTGAACACGACATCTCTCAGTCTACCATGTACATATTTGTGAAACGTTTTACAGACAAAACAGATATTGTAATCTGAACGTTGTGTAATCTATAAGGTGATAATGTCTCACAAACCATGATCCATTTTGTGTGTATCCGATGTAGATTCACGAGTTAATTTATCAATAACGTGGGACACTGGTTGAAATAATTTCTCGCTGTAGGTTTACTATGTCTGTTTAAGATTGGCACTTTATCATGTGTAGCCATGATGCCAAATGACACAATTGTATCTCATGTTAAATATATATTGTTTTCTTGTACCACCGTGGTTCGGAGTAAATAAATGAAATCTGAAATCTGATACATCTAATGCTACACTCCTCATCATTATGTACATCTAATTCATTCATTATGAAAAACTGTGGACTTGTTTATGTCATATGTTGTTTTTTCCATATTGTTCATCTTTAATAATAATCACTACTGACGTGAACTGCCCACGCCGGTATCATCTATAGCTCAGTTACTATTGATTGACGTGATTAATGAAAGTCTTATTCTTTTATCTGTACACATTTCTTGGGGGCATCCCTTTGCTTACATGTTTATAGAATATGTTTTTGACAGCCAATTTGTTTCAGTCGCTTCCTCTGGTAGTCATTCTGCTGTGTTATTTACAAACTGATGATCGATGGACAGACTGAGACATATCAAGGGTTCATAAGGTACGATAATACATACATTCCACGATGACTCTGATCGCCTTGCTGACAGATGGAGGAACGCCGTTGTCCACAAAACACTCGTAGATGTCGTCGCAGTAGCGGGTCACGTTGTGTATGAGTAGCATCTCCCCCTCCAGACCGATTCCTGGAATACAGGGAAATATTAACGAGCTGGTCACCACGTGATGCACGGGAAGCGGCTGAGTGATATAACACTGTAACTGAAATGTACGCAAGACTCGTATACTAGTATGAAGCGTGTTTATATGGGTATGGTTGGATGTAAAACAGGGAAATATTAACGAACTGATCACCACATGATGCACGGGAAGCGGCAAAGTGATAGAAAACTGTGACTGAAATGTACGCAAGACTCGTATATGTAGCGTGTTTATATGGGTATGGTTGGATGTAAAACAGGGAAATATTAACGAACTGATCACCACATGATGCACGGGAAGCGGCAAAGTGATAGAAAACTGTGACTGAAATGTACGCGAGACTCGTATATGTAGCGTGTTTATATGGGTATGGGTGGATGTAGAACAGGGAAATATTAACAAACTGATCACCACATGATGCACGGGAAGCGGCAAAGTGATATAAAACTGTGACTGAAATGTACGCGAGACTCGTATATGTAGCGTGTTTATATGGGTATGAGTGGATGTAGAACAGGGAAATATTAACAAACTGATCACCACATGATGCACGGGAAGCGGCAAAGTGATAGAAAACTGTGACTGAAATGTACGCGAGACTCGTATATGTAGCGTGTTTATATGGGTATGGGTGGATGTAGAACAGGGAAATACTAACGAACTGATCACCACATGATGCACGGGAAGCGGCAAAGTGATAGAAAACTGTGACAGAAACAGGGAAATATAAACAAACTGATAATTCCTTGCACAACAGACACGGTGCATGGGGCGCAACGAAATTATGTGAAACTGTAATCGGAATGTACCCAAGTCATATATATGTAGCTTGTTTCTGAGGAGATGGATGTGATGCAGAGTTATAAAGTGATTGTAGGGGTCAGAATCTCGAACTATTCTATTAGATGTCATCGCGTTTCTATGATGGCATGCATGTGGTATAATAGTCCCTCTCGTTGATATTTTTCAGGGGTTTGCTTTGGTATTCGATCCATGAGGTTCATCTATGAAATATAAAACAGTTCCGACATTTAATCGTAGGTGTCTCCATCATGTTTTCGCTCTCTCAATGTTTCTCCTAGTTCAAAAATCTTTACTGTTTGTGCAGGATTGACTGATGATCCCTAGAGCTTTAAAAACATGAACACGTGCCAAATCAACAGAAACGTTTTTAACGTAATTTCATTCATTTTAATATAATTAATGCCACATGCCAAGGCAACATGAAAAACTTAAAAAGAAGTCGAAATAAAGCAAATAGAATTGTATGATGTGCTGACAAATTTGGTTGTAAAAATCGCTTTTCCCTGTTGCACCATCTGACGTTAAACAGTAAATATGAGTGTATCAGTCTCACAAGGAAGGCAATGATTTGTCATTGACGCATATTGTTTGTACAAGGACATTTAATTTCAGCTTGGTGCGGAAGGGGTTTGTCCTATACAGCAATATGTTCTGAAAGGGATCAACGAATGTCGTTACCAATGAATTAAACTTGGTTCGTTTGATACAAAACTATTCAGTCGAGATTCTAAAGTACTCCGACAACAATTACTTTGTAATCCTACCAGAATATTGCTCTTAATTCTATGCGGGATTGAAAAGTTCAACTAAATTAAAATTGCCAAATGGGTTCTCTACTGTGAAATTATACATCTTCGCTACGGTCAACGAAACCAGATCAAATTCCCAACTTTTTAAGGCGAAAAAGAACCGTTAGAATAAAGATCGATTCAAGGAAATTTGGTAAGGAAGTTCGCAAGAGCTTTCCTTTCCCCCACTTCGTCAAACAATCCCATTTGATGGAATGAAATTGATTTGGTTGCGGTCTTGAGTGAAGGGATGCTGAGGTTGAGGATGGGGAAATGAAGATGTTCTGGGAAGTGTCTGCGGTTCTAACATGGCATGGACTCGCTTACTCGTCACCAGCTCCATGCTGGCGCTATCCTGTATGCCCAACAGAATCGCTGTCATTTTCCCATGTATTGTTAAAGATAGCAGAACAAGGAACTAATATCTACACATTCACTTTGTTCACTGGTATTGAATAGTTCAGTTTGTATTGCGGAAAAAGTGTGTTGGGGTTGTCTCATGTCCTTGCGTCTTTGGGCAGATTAATATACATAAGCAAGTGCATTTAGTAAAAGCCTGAGGCATACATGGATGATGGTCATTCCTTTTAATGTGCTATTATTCAATAATTCTAAACAACGCCTGACAAATCATCGCTATCGAATGTCTGCCAAGACATTTTCTACCAAAGGCCAAACAGTGATGACAATTTTAAGAATGGATCGCCGAATATCAGCATGACACAAGGTGTACACGAAAAGGGTATTACTGAGCATGTCCTGAATGACCGTTTTTCATAACATTAAGGATGAACATAACAATCGGATTGAATAGGAAAACGCTATTATCCATGACAAATTTTAAATAATATATCAGGTGTCTTTAACACTGTATAATAACACAATCTATTGAACATTATGAATGGGATCTTCAGTTCAGATTTACAATCATGATGCCCTAAATGTATTCACCAAAGGGTGATTCGTCAAGCAAATGAAATCGCATTATTTTTCATGTAAAGAACATAAAGTACATGTAAAATATCACAATATAACAGAATATAAAATTTAACTTGATTATAACAAAACACAATATAAAACTTGGTTATTGTCTTGATTTTGTATATCCCAGAAAAAATTAATTCACCTTTTTTCTTTGTTTGTTCCTTTTTTCTTTCTTTCTATTTTTTTGGGTGGTGATGTATTTACATCTTTTCTTTGTATTTTACATATATATTGTTATGCATACAGTGTATTTCTATATGTACCATAAATATAACCATCTGATAATTGTTTTTTATGGCGGCTTTTCGAATTATCCAGATTTTACATCAATGACGTTTATTCATCATCAACGTAGATATAAAATATATTATAAGAACTACTGAAAGAAAACATCTTACATTATGACCTGACACATATATTCTCCAAAGACGTGAGTGTGACTTACTTTCTTTTCTACCTCTGCCCATTCTGTAGTTCCGTTTGTTCCACGTGACGTTTGGCTGCGGGACTCCTGTCACGTTACATATTAGTTCCGCTACCTCCCCTTCGCGCAACCGGATATTGTCAGATGACAGGCGGCTAATGATAGCGGGTGGCACTGTTCAAAGATACGTCGAAGGGACAACTGATTCAGAATTCAAATGGTTTTTCAACGAGTATAATACATGTATTGATTTATATATAAATTGATATTATCACACATGTATAATATGCAAATAATAGGATAAAGCGTTTGGTCTTAACTCATGTTACATCAAAAGTATGCAGTGTGAGTGAGTATGGTTTTACGTCGCTTTTAGAAATACTGCATACTCTGACGGTTGATCACCAGAAATGGACTTTACATACTGTAATCATGTTGATAACCGAACCCGGGGTTTCTGCGGGAAAAGTGAACGCGTGAACCAGAAGGCCAGGAACGATAACTTTCATTGTTACGACGGAAGGGTAATTTTTTACCTCAATGACAGTAGTCCCATTACTAGATAAAGCCAAAGTGTGTGTGTGTGTGTGTGCGTTTGTGTGCGTTTGTGTGCGTGTTGTATGTCTGTGCGTGTGTGTGTGTGTATGTCTGTGCGTGCGTGCGTGCGTGCGTGCGTGTGTGTGTGTGTCCAGCCCGGGCGCAAATGTTTCGAATATATTGATGTATTGACACCTGTCGCTGAGTGAGAGAGGTTGGTGTAATACCGCAGTAGTATATTTTAATGGCCTGTCAGCCAAATATCCGAGGAGAGCCTAAATTGCCGCAAGTCGTAGACATTTAACTTCTGTGAAATCCTTTGATATTTTTAATATGGTATGACGAATCAAGGAGAAATCTGTGATTCGAACTCATCATTATCAATTCTGGCATGACTATGATCAAACTCATACACTGCGGCGACTCCGACAACATGGCCACCGTCGCCCCGTCACCCTCCCGTCCCCCAAGAACCCTGCCTCGATATGAGATCCGTGTCCTGAAACCTTTTGACAGCGTGACCCTCCGTGTTCCTACCGCGTGAGTGTCTTTCATGTTAGTTCTGACAGAATCTACACTAAAATGCAACCATTAGTTGAACGAGTGATGCACTATTCTGATCAGCCGATGTATCGATCATCGGTGTTGACCCACGTGGTCTATAGAAAACGAAATGATATCTATGGCAACCACAGTGATACTTTACATAATACACTTCCTCTTGCAATGGACTGCCAACCACAAAGAGTCACCGAGAACCGAGGGCGCGGGAAATTATTTAATGGTAACATGTCCTAAAAAATTCTCTTTAGCAACATTCACATGTCAAGTTTTTCATTTAAAATGTGTTGCAAATAATCTCAACATTATGCATCTGTTGTTTGATCGGGTGTAGCGATATGAAATTCGATCAGCACTATCGTACAACACTCGTACAAATCTCAAGTTAAGAACGTATTAAACTTTTAGTCGAATCAGGATTGATAAAACAACACAAAAGGGTTATCATGGGGTGCTCTTTCTAAACTTTAAGTTACCCATTTCTTTTCCGTAACAAAAACCAGTATAGAACGTTTAGATAGTGAAATATCTTGGTCCGTGTTTTCGAAACCTTTGTTTGTTTGTTTGTTGTTTAACGCCGCACTCAGCAATATATGACTATATGACGGCGGTCTGTAAATACTCGAGTCTGGGTCTAGTCATGAGCATCGATCCACGATCCACAATCAACCAATTTAGCGAGCCTGACCACCCGTTTCATTCTGAGATAGATTAGTTTTGAACGAAACCCGTGAAGACCCGATGTAGAATAGGTCTTCAGCAACCCATGCTTGCCGTAAAAGGCGACGATGCTTGTCGTAAGAGGAGACTAACGGGATCGGGTGGTCAGGCTCGCTGACTTGGTTGATGCATGTCATTGTATCCCTATTGCGTGGATCGATGCTCATGATGTCAATCATTGGATTGTCTGGTCCAGACTCGATTATTTACAGACCGCCGTCATATAGCTGGAATATTGCTGAGTGCGGCGTTAAGCAACAAACAAAACGAAAAAATGTTGCTTTTCACAAAGGTGTCGTCTACCAGCAGACTTTCCTACATTAAGCTGACAATCATGGTATGTCTGGAATATTGTTTTATCCAACTCACTTGTCACTCGAAATAATATTGTTTGTAATGTAAGACATTGATTCAACCTATAGCGGGGACATGGATCACCTAAACATGCTATATGTAATCGTGATATAACTGAAGTACCGTTCAAATCGGAGTTACACCTCCCTCACTCACTCACTCACTCACTCACTCACTCACTCACCAAGGACAGAGAGTTTAACTGCCTTCTCCTGCTCAGGAACGGTGTTGATTTCACACTTGTAGACGCCGCTGTCGTTGTAACGGACGTCGTTGATATGTAGATTCCATTCCTTCACATACGGCCGCTCGATCGTGATGCGCTGGTCATCTATCATACGCCGGTCCGAGTGGCTGATCAGCTGTTTTCGTGGGCTCACCCAGATGACCTGGTACCGGAATGTGTTAGCTATATATGATTGCAGACTTAACCCAGAACAAATGGGTTAGTTCTGTCGAGCTAGTTTTTTTAACCGCCATATGTGTCTGAATGAAATACAGCTCTGCATCACTTCAAGCACAAATGACATAGAAGGTCTCTCCTGTCTCGCCCATAAGGTCAAGGTAAAATTGTAAAATCGATGTCTTGTGTGACAATAAATACATGCAAATTTGTATTCCGTAAAATATAATCATGGATTTAATGTCATCAAGGGTTTCTTTGAGGCCTTTCATACTCTTAATACACATGCAGTTTTCTCTCTCTAGCCGTCAATAAGCTCTACTTAAACGCAGCAAGCCCTTTCCACAAGAAGCCTCTGCGAAAAGCAGAGTCCGTTGTAGGATTCCGACTACATTATAAGCATGTGTTTATGAAACACTATCGAATAGTGGTATCAGGTGGTTACTGATGCGTCAAATTTGGAAATGTTCTCCACATGTCTACCGTAAAACGGTTTGAAAGCTTCACTGAGGCCTTAAATGGCAGACCCTGATCAAATAACTTGTGAGCAAGAGTCGCATTACGCTCTTTGAAATCTTCGTAGAAAGAGCATGCTGGATTGTTGACACCAAATGTAGACACCAAAGGCTGGATATTGCTCGACATAACTTAAAAGGGAAAGTTGACTGTTGGACAGATGAAGTCATCTCTCTTGTCATACAGTCGTGTGGATATTTTTTTTCCACTCTGAATCTATACGCACAGATCAAAATATGAAAAAGATGAGTTAGTTTCACTGGTCTCTTTGATTTCCAAATCTAGAATTTATCTTATTGGCCAAATGCCCGTGTTTGATTTTACCAATCCGAGCAGAAAATCCGATTCATATGCATAAGGAAACAAATAAGCAAAGAGTGAGTTAGTATGGTTTAAGCAATATTCCAGCGATATCACGGCGAGGGACACCGGAAATGGGAATGGGCTTCACACATAGTACCCATGTGGGGAATCGAACCCGGGCCTTCTGCGTGACGAGCGAACGCTTTAACCACTAGGCTACCCCACCGCCCCAATAAGCAAACAGGGGAGCACGTTTGGTGCCCATGGGAATTCCTGCTTCTAGACCAAAATGTTCTATCCCAAACTTTCACATACACATTTCAAATCACACAATAATATTTAATTAAAGTAACATATTTTCGTATTTACCATACTATCATTGATTAGAAATTTCCAGGGAAATGAGGACTGAAATGTTCAAGGGTTGACCGATGAACAGTACAGTAGTTTCACGAGATCCCAGCCACTTTCATGTCATTCTCTTTTAACACAGTGACTGCAATGTCCACTTGGGAAGTTGAGTTTTCCCCTTACCGTATTGTCTCCGATATATTCCACTGTGCATGGTAGGATAGCTTTGTCCCCAGCCTTCACGGTCACATGTTCCGGCGTTGTGTTGAACTTTGGCGCTAAATCAGCCAAGGCTAAAAACATAATGAAACAGAACATTTAAACCGAGGTCATCTATTTTTCGAAATCCAAATGAAGTTTAGTGGTGTTTTCATTCAAATGTCACAATGTTGTTTTCTTGTTGTTGTTGTTGTTGTTGCTGTTTACTGTATGATAAAGAATATGAGGCGGAGATATATTTCAGTTGTTAAATTGCATTAATGTATACATTACAAAGTTCAGATTGATATCAACTATCATTTAATACCAGATGTAATTATTATTTTTATAAATGCATTTTAATTCTTTTTCAAACAATCTGCCAACTTAAACTAAAATCTTATTTGATTAAGATATACCATATATTTGGTGTGTCTGAATGCCCCCAGCAACAACAGCTACCACCATATTGTGGATCAGCTGATCCTGCGGTACATCAACCGTCTGTGTAATGCCGCAGCAGGATTAACACAATCGCTATAATTAAAGCTTGCAGGCAAATCTAGCCAGTATTTCGAAAACAAGATCGACCCACAGCGATAAACTCTCAACAGTGATGCCTTCTTTGCAGTATAGCTTGACAGTTCCAGCATAGTTTCCACCTCACGCAGTCCACCAAGGATCAACAATTGTGTTTCAGCTGGTGGTATCAGCGTAACAAAATACCCATTAGCATTGACTCCCTTCCCCATGCCATCAGACAAGCACAAATTCCCAATAGCCACGTCCGAATCTCAAGGCGCGGCTGACGCCCAGGGTATTCAAAGCCACAGAAAACCCAGTTGCAGTCATAATAACCTGTAAATGGTACTTAAAAGAAAGCGCTACAATATATGACGTCCAACTCGTTGAGGTGCATCGCCTCTGGCCAGAAATATGTTCCTAAATAGATTAGTGGTTTGGGGTTCTCGGCACACGCCACCTTGACATAGAAGCAGGCAACGAAACCTGATGTGTAATCAGCAAAGGTCGCGCTTAGTCCCCAAGGTGATGCTGAAATGACGGGCTCTGTGCCATTGAAACTGTTAATATGTTCAGACTGAGGGCGGGGGAAGATTGCGCTAAGTAAGTACACACGTAGGTGGCGAACGTTCTGGCTCAATTAAATTTAAACCAGTTGGGTGATGAAAAAGAATGAAATGATGGAATTTGTGACATATTTAAAAGGGCATTCTTGACGGAAGCTGCAACAGCTAGCATCAACTTTATGTTTCGTATTAGGTTTACAGACATGTATTTTTTAGTTACGTTGTAGAATTGATCCACCACACATCTTCATAAAGAATGTTCGTGTAAGCATACTTGCCACGTTGCACCGGTGGCCAAGAGTAATAGGTTACGTCTGTTTTCTTCAGTTTCTTTTGTTATAACGCGTGCTGTGTCAACAAACCTATTAGCTCTGAACTAACGATTTAAAATGAAGTAAAAAAATAACAAGGAGAAGGAGAAATGATACCTGCGACAGCCTAACTGAATCTGAAAGTCCTCCCAAGATACATGTGACCATCCTTATTGAAGTTGAAGGTACACCCAAGATACCTATGACCACTCCTTAATCGAATCTGATAGTCCTCCGAAGACATGTGACCATCCTTTATGAAGTTGATGGCACACTCATGATACATGTGACCACTCCTTATTGACTCTAATAGTCATCCCACGATACAAGTGACCATCCTCATTGAAGTTGATGGTGCACGCATGATGTGTGTGACCTGTCTCACTTAAACTGATGTCCCTAACTTAAGCTGATGGTATACACACGAATACGTGTGGCATCGATTATTGAAATGTAGATCCTTTATATGTGCGTGTATTACTATAACAACTATTCATTCTCTGTGTATTCCTATTGCATCTACGTGTATTGCTTCAAATAATCATACTACTACTACTTCTACTACTACTAGTAGTAGTAGTAGTAGTCTTGGGGCAAGGGTGGTCGAATCGTCTAAGGCGCTGCAATTCGCTGTGCAGGGTTGCGGACCCTGGGCACGCCAAAACCCATGATCCTGGGTTCGACTCCCAGTTCTCCCCAATTATATTTTTAGGTCTGTTAGCACCAGGCACGTGACTGATGGTTCACTAAAGTGGTAAACGTATGAGAGCTCCATCACTTCGGGCTTTCCTCCCAAAATTAGCTGACATGCCGTGATATATATTTGGAGTACTGTTCAAAGCGGCTTCAAATCCATCTCACTTACAATATCTAGACGTCTATTACAAGTACTAATTACAGAATATATTATGTTAGATGTGCTGCAACTTCTAGAGCTACTACACTGTTATATTACTGGTGGGCAGATAATAAACCAGAAATACACCCACCACCACCCATCCATCCGTCTTGAAGGAGATCTTGATTTACCATAACACGTGTCGTCACAACTCACCAGGAACCCTCGGATATATTTTTATGCAAATTGTGTGAATGACGGGTGCTACCGGTAGGGCAGGACATGTTTATACCTTCGCGAACACCAGGTGTCATGACTGACTTTCAGTGATCCATACATATCATTTTCACCGCTACTTTGCCTTTTACGCCCTATGGAATCTGTTTCGTCGGATAATCGAGACTGTTTTGTGTCTGGCGTTGACGTTTCAGATTTACCACAGTGTAAGCCACATCTATGCTGTTATTCCTGTGTCAAGACTTCTGGCAAACGCACATTAGGAGATAAACAGATTCTGTGATCTTTTCCTATGCGTGGTGTTTGGGAATACACCGACACCGGCAAATTACGGTTAGATTTCAATTTGAAGAGACTCCAAGCGTGAAATTATAAATGGAAAGAGATGGAAAGAGTTTTGTCTGTGTAATGTACAATATCGATTGAAAACCAAAGCAAAGTTGTCGGTTGTCATCTATAAATAGAATTTAGTTATAAATTAATTAATGAAAAAACAAAGTTGCCTACACTGCAGAAAAACGCGATGTGTGGTCGTAATTAATTGAACATAAAGCTGGAAAGAAAAAGAAGAGTTAATCAAATTTGGAAGATTGCACAACACGATTGTGATACAACTGTGTTGGTAGGATACGAGATCTAGTAGAAAGATAATGTTTTTCTGGACCTCTCTCCGACGTAATTGGGCCCCGACGTGTGTTCAACTAAGGCAATGCTATCTCCCGTAACCACAGATTTTGTGCAATTCACGTGACCCTTGCGACAAAGAAGTTTTAATTTGTGCTTTGCAAGAAGCAAAACGTTCAAAGAAATATTTTTCCAGCATTGTGTTTATATTTTCTAATTATTTTCTTGTCGCGTGAATCCTCGTTGATCACGTTTCTTTGTCTCTTTCGAATGAAACCCTCGAAAAATTCAAACACATACATCAAAAAAATATTTTAAAAAAATATTCATTTCTGAGCAGTGTCATTTCAAGGAATCGGAGCTGCAACTTAACCAAAAGGTTTTTTTTGTAAATGGAGAGTTTCAGCATTTCCCTTGAATGTTCAAGGGAATCCTGACTCTACAAAACAGAGCGACAAAAACGTTCAGACTTGAACGACGAGACTTCAGAGTACCATTCCTCTGCATACCGAGATAGATATATTGTTATTATTTCTAAGGTGCAAGGACAATAGGGACAAGAAGTGTCCTTAAATGTATAATTTCAGTTTTCTTTTCGTGTATCTCTTTCCATTACACGCTTCATTGGTATCAGAATCATTTGTTCAAACCATTGCCGGTTAAATTATATAGCTCCCAAGGGCAATCATCATACATTGAGAACAATCTTCACAACGAATCCATTCTACTGTATTCTGATTATTTCAACGATACAATCGACACTGTTGCACACCATGACAAATGATTCTGTTCTATTCCTGGTGAGCACGTATCGTCCCTACACAAGGATTTTACTAATTCAATAAACAAACTCTCCGTCCCCTCGGCACTGCACGATATGGAAACCAAGTCCGCCCAGTCTCGTAATAAATCAAGACTAGCACATATCGCATGTTGCTGGAAAGGCGACTGTTCGCGACGCCAGCTCGATAATAGACTGTGAATATAGCCATTTGGTCTTGTATCAACTATTAGGATGCGTAACAAGTCACGAGTTGGCACTAACCGATCACCGTTAAAGCGTTTCGACATGGAATTCATGATAAAGAAAATGGAAAATTGACGTAATTGTGTCGGTTTATACAAGTTCGAAAGAGACTAAAGTAAAATGGTGGGTACACGAATGTTCTCTAGTTAATATTCAATTTTTCTTGAAATATAATGCAGTTTGTCGTTCGATTTTAGATAACGGAAACATGTTGTTAAACAAAAAGCAATCTTACCAATGTCCCGTTCCTTCATTGTTAGTGTCCTTTTAAATCTCATGTGATTATGGGGATAATATTTCGATCTACATTTAAAGTCTATGATCGAATGTCTTGAGAACGTCGTGTGACATAGACATTGTGTTCTATATTATATCAGCCATAATGTGCAAATATAAGTGCATTTGCGTCATTCAGCGACATTTCGTTATTAATGGAGGTGCGTAAGCGAACATTTACTAGTTGAAGTAATCATTTGAAATATAACTTTCCACGTCGATGTAAATGATTTTTAATGCCGTTTTATCTAACAATAATTTCCACAGATGAAACTCTTTCACATTTCAATTATTTTCATATTTTTGTATGAATGCGAGAATAGTATAATATGATGAAATATTTCGGCGGAGAAGATTTCAATTGATCACTCGTGACCCAAGACTGCTAATATCGTTGCGGACATTACCATGACGACAAGAGTTCCTGGAACTGTTTGTACTGGGTGTAACCTTGTAACCGGGACATGAAAGGGTAACGTTTCTCATCGAAAGAAATTAACTCTTGTTTTTACCAAAGTAGCGAATGACTGTTACTTAATAAGACTCCTAAACACTGCCTCCTTCTCCCTTGATTACTAAAACCAGTAACTGGATATTGGCTACCAGCGCCATTGTAACTACTTTAAGGGTCTCTCCAACAAAAAGAACACCGTCAATTCCAATCGGCCAATCAACGTTAAACGAGGAGTTTCTT